GTCAAAAGAGTTCCTGCTGGGAAGGAAGTTTTAAGGGAGGGCCTCTCTGACATTTTTTTGAATAGCTGACAAAAACCAGCTGGCCAAAACTAAACTGATTTTATGGAAGTTCTTTTGTCTCCTATTTTGCAATAGGAGACAATTTCCCATGGTCATGTGCTGGTTAAGCACTCTGGTTTCATACAGCATAAGGTCACATCAAAGTTTCCCTTGTTGACAGTTATCTAAATAATAACCTACAAAGTTTTCAAAAGATCTATTAAGCTTAAAGATAAAAAGGACAAAAGTAATTTAAATGTAATTTTTAGTTTTCATTTTTATTAATGGGCTATAGGCTTTAAGAGAAAATCACTCTTATTAGTATTTTTATATCAGTTACAGTTAGGGCAGAATATCATGAAGAATTTACATTTTTCAGAGTGGTCCCCAACAACCCAGTAAAGTTTAATTGACTTGTTGGAATTGTTTTTCTAATTACAGTATATGTTCCACTTCCTTTAATGTACTTGTCTACTGTCATACCAAAGTGACCAGTGGAACTAAATCTGTTTTTGATTGTAAGTTTAGAGCATCACAAGACCATCTTTAAAATTGTATATTTGGGGCTTCCTTGGTGGTGCAGTGGTTAAGAATCTGCCTGCCAGTGCAGGGGACACAGGTTTGATCCCTGGTCCAGGAAGATCCCACATGCTGTGGAGAGCAACTTAGCCCGAGAGCCACAACTACTGAGCCTGCCTGCCACAACTACTGAAGCCCGTGCGCTCTAGCGTCCACGTGCCGCAACTACTGAGCCCGCGTGCTGCAACTACTGAAGCCCACAAGCCTAGAGCCCGTGCTCCACAACAGAGAAGCCACTGCAATGAGAAGCCCACGCATCGTAAGGAAGAGTAGCCCCCACTCTTCTGCAACTAAAAGAAAGCCTGTGGGCAGCAATGATGACCCAACGCGGCCAAAAATAAATAAATTTATTTATTAAAAAAATGTATATTTGCCTCAAGTCCTTTTTTAGAATGGGGGTATGAACTTTAAAAATAATTATATACTGTGATAATTATGTAGTTAATTGTAATCTGTTTCTTATTCACTTTAGGATTATATAATTGGAGAACTATGGGTTTTGTGGCTTTGTGTTTTTCTTGTTCTCGGTATCGAGAGTCCCTAGTACTTCTAAACTTCTTTTGGTTTAAAAGAATAAAAGTATGGTAGACTCATACACTGCAATACTACCAAGAATAAAAAAGAAAGACTCACGGGTATGCAACAACATGGATGAATTTCAGAGATATTATGTTGAGCAAAAGAAGTGAGACGAGAAAGAATACATACTGTATATTTCAACTTACACGAAGTTCAAAAACAGGCAAAATTAATCTATGGTGCTGGAATTCAGAATAATGCTTATCTCTGCGTGGGAGGGTATTGATTGGGAAGGGCCATGAGGAGGCCTTCTGGGATTTTGGAAATGTTCTGTATCTTTTTTTTTTTTCTCATTTTTTCCAGTTTTTTTGAGATATAATTGACATATAAGGAAATGTTCTGTATCTTGAACATTTGTGTTCTATTCTGCGGTACACATAAGATGCACATTACTATATGTATCTTATACTTCAGTTAAAAACAAAAGACCTGCCTTCTCACTTTAGAGCTCCCCAGGTTCCCTGGCTAGCTTTCTTAGGGACCATGCCAGTCCTTAGAGCCGCAGAAGAATGATACTTCCACAGGAGAGAGTATTTCTCTCTTGAGAAATTCTCCCTAACAGAAGTGGCAGCTAAGGAGGGTGGCAGGCAAGGCCTCATGGGGGGTAGGGGGGTGACCATTTGGGTGTTTGGTGTGTTAAATCTTCCAGGTATTGGGGTGAGGTGATAATTCTGCACAATTACTTAATAACTGTCCAGAACGAAGTCATCTCTCTTTTTTTTTTAAGTTTTATTTATTTATATTTGGTTGCGTTGGGTCTCTCTTACTGCGCTGGCTTTCTCTAGTTGCGGTGAGTGGGGGCTTCTCATTGCGGTGGCTTCTCTTGTTGCGGAGAACGGGCTCTAGGCGCGCGGGCTGCAGTAGTTGTGGCACTTGGGCTCAGTAGTTGTGGCTCACGGGCTCTAGAGCGCAGGCTTAGTAGTTGTGGCGCACGGGCTTAGTTGCTCCGCGGCATGTGGGATCTTCTCGGACCAGGGCTCGAACCCGTGTCCCCTGCATTGGCAGGCGGATTCTTAACCACTGCGCCACCAGGGAAGTTCCCGTGAACTGAGTCATCTCTTAACATCACTTATCTCAGAGCTTCCCACCTTGTGTGCCTTGGCCCGTTGGTGTGCTTAGAAGGGGTACAGGTGTGCTAAGGCACAGGGCACCCCCTCCTGCCCAGAGCAGCCTTTCCGCTTATACCCATGTGCCCTGCAATTTTACCATTTTCTATGTGTGCATAATATGAAAAAGTTACAACGCATTGGTCTGACCCACTGTTTCTCAAAAAAAATTTTTTTTTTGCCCAAATGCCATCAATAGCAAAGGAAAGTACACTTGTATCACTGAAGGATGGTCTCCAGGTACAGTTTGAAGTGACTTGGGGCAAAGCATAAGCTTTCTTTAAAGTTTAATGTTATATCTTAAAAACACATGCAAATTTTGCATTCTATTCAAATATGTTCATATGACGTGAAAAAGCAATATTTTCTCTTCTGCTTTCTCCTACCCCCAATCTTAAAGGAATATTGACACTCTAGGAAGAGGTTTATCCTGTGAAGTTGTGTACTCCCTGGTACAAAGCTGCATACCCCTAGGGTACTTTGACCCTGGTTTGCGAAGCACAAGTTTAAAGAATTTCCAGGGAATGGTTTACTTGTCTGGAAATGTGATCTTACACATTCATTTCAGCTAGATGTGACATTGACATTTCTGTAAATGTGAGGAAATGTAACATTCCATTTTAGTATTTGGGGCCAAGTGTCATTTTTGGCATTAAACTGCCCAGAGGGTGGGCCTGGGACCCCGTCTGAGAAGTGGAGGGCAGGCACATATGAGAACTCTCATTCTGTATCTCTTTTATGAGCATTCTGTCTCCAGAATGCATCTCAGCCTGTTTACTGCTGCCCATCCACCATCATCTCTCTGGATTACTGCAACAGCCTCTTAGCAGCCTCCCCACTTCCATACTTGCCCTCCATGATCCGTTTCCAAAAGTGAGGCCAAGTAAGTTATTTTTTAAATATAGGTCAGGTCATAACTCCCTCCTTAAATCTTCAACGAATGACTTGGAATAAAAATCCTGACAGGATGGCAAGTTGGTTAAGAGCACACACTCCACCTACCTCCTACCCCTTCTAGCTGCTTGAACATGAGCCCATTATTTAAAATCTCTGTGCCTCAGTTTCTTCATCTGTAGAACGGGAACAATCATACCTACCCCATAGGGCTGCTGCGGGGATTAAATGAGTGAATAAATGTGAAATGCTTAGAACAATGCTGGCATAGAGTAAGTACAAATATGTGTTAGTGCCTGTTGCATCATTTATATTGTTAAGATCTAGGTGGCGTGGCTACTGCTCACCTCTCCTACTTTGTCGGGAGCCATTCTCTCTTGTACACCCTGCACCAGCGACACAGACCCTTTCCCAGTTCCTCTCTCGCATCCTAGGTTTTTGTACATTTGGGGGCGTTTCCTCTGGTTCCTGAACACCAGCTCTCTCCAGGCTTCCAGTCTCATTGTGATTGTTACCCTGTCAGAAGGGACCTCATGACCACCCATCTAAGCTGGTTCTTCCCTGTTACTCTCATTACAATATCCTGCTGGGTAACATCACACACTATTCTCAATTTTGAAATTAGGTATATATGTTTTGATGCCCATTACAGCCTGATGCCATGGGGCATTTTTTTTTTTTTTGGCCTTGCCCTGGGCTGCCTGCAGGATCTTAGTTCCCCAACCAGGGACCAAACCCATACTCTCTGCAGAGGAAGCGTGGAGTCTTAACCACTGGGCTGCCAAGGAAGTCCCGTGGCTAGCTTTTTGAGAGGAGGGAAGATGTCCATTTTGCTCATCAGTGTAAACCCTTCATGCCTGGCCTAGGACCTGGCATATACATATATGTGAAACGAACACATACATGTTCCAGTTCTAACTGCTTATTCTGATACATCTTCCCCGCCAACTCCACACAAGCATTTTTATAGGAGTGAAGAGATTGAAATGAATATCAATTGAAGTCTGAAAAGAATTCACAAAAAATGAAAATGTAGCCTTCAGATGTGGGTATACTAAAGGTGGGAAGAGGCTGTGCTCTGAGGGTGATGGGGGCATTCGTAGGCCAGTGAAGTGTGAGAACCTCAAGTGTTGTGTGTGTATGTGTGTTTTGTATCACCTGGCAAAGTTGCTTATCTCATCCCTGTCACCTGCCCCCCCTGGATCTCTATATGTTCTGGTAGAATAAAGTGTTTTGTCTCTGTTGGCTCAATTGGGTAAGCCTCTTGTAGCCTCCCTTGGGTTCACTTGGAGCTTTTCGTAAGTGTGCAGAGAATTCAGCTGCAGACCAGTTTGGTGAAGGCTGGGCAGTGCTGGAGAAGGTCAGGAACAGGAGGCCACTGCAGTGAGAACCCTCAGGCCATACGAACAGCAAAAGGGTCCCTGGGTGCCTCTGCCTATGGGACTTTTCAAAACAGAAAAGGCTTTGAAAGTGGGTGGGAAGGGGCACTGAAGAGGAATTTCACAAACCTTACAACTTTTCCACCATGACTTTCCTGAAGGAGAAAACTTTTAAAAGTTTTTTTCCCCCTCTGTCTCCAGAGAATTTTATAAAGTGAGATTTATAGAATGAGATTTGTGGAGTAATATATTTAAATTTCTGAGCAATGTTTGGTTTTTTACTTCTATTCCTCATGGTGGGCTGACTTCTGACAATATTTTGGAAGAGGATGGAAGCAAGACAAAACAAAATATGCATTGTCCCCTATGTGCTTTAGATGTCAGGCATCAGATATCCCAGAACAAAGCGACCAATTCAGCCCTGCTTCCTCTGACTTGCTTCTCACAGTGACACAGGCATTGGTCACAATTTCCCCTCCACAGCTTCCCTGTATACTCCCAGGAAAGTCCCAAGTGACACACCCAATTGCCAGACCTTACAGACCATGGCTTGTGGCTTGTTAGGGCTTGGCAAGGCCTGCAATGCAAAACGTCTAATGAGACATTCCAGAGCTGCTGAGAGGGAAAGACTTTCCCCTGGGCTCTCTAAATAGCTTCTGAGGCTTTAAGAACAAAAGCCCTACAGAGCCTCTGGCTGGCAACTGCTGTGGCTAATTTTATTTTCATCATCAGGCAAGGCCCAAGGCAGGGATGCCTGAAAGACACTGTGAAAGGAGGATTTTTTTGTCTTTCCTTTAGCAGTTAGTCACAATCCAAAATTTGGAATGGTTGTTTTTTTCTGCCGTGCCTCGAAGCTTGTGAGATCCTAATTCCCTTACCAGGGATTGAACCTGGGCCCACGGCAGTGAAAGTGTGGAGTCTTAAGCACTGGACGGCCAGGAAATCACCGCCGCCCTCTCTTTGTTTTCAACAGCTCTTATTTAGACTATTTGGAGTGAAGAGAAAGAGATGGGGCAGGAGGGAATATATGAGGCATAAACTGACCTTCAAATAGATGATTCATACTAAAAGAACTGTAGGGACTTCCCTGGTGGCTCAGTGGTTAAGAATCCGCCTGCCAATACAGGGGACACAGGTTCGAACCCTGGTCTGGGAAGATCCCACATGCCTTGGAGCAACTAAGCCCATGTGCCACAACTACTGTGTGCTGCAACTACTGAAGCCCGCATGCCTAGGGCCTATGCTCCGCAACAAGAGAAGCCGCTGCAATAAGAAGTCTGAGCACTGCAACAAAGAGTAGCCCCCGCTCTCTGCAACTAGAGAAAGCCTGTGTGCAGCAATGAAGACCCAACATAGCCAAAAATAAATAAATTAATTTAAAAAAATGGAAAACCTGCTAAAAAAAACAAACAAAAAAAGTACTGTAAGTGCATCTAGCAAGTGGCAGGAGAAAAGACCAACCCCAGAAAATGAACTCTGACAGTGGGCAAGGCACGTGGGAGTCACTTTGCACGTACTATATCTTATTAAATTCTCACAACAGTTAGTAGGAGTGTTTTTATCCCCCTTTTAGGAAACTGAGGCTCAATGAGCTCAACTAACTTCCCCAGGTCATACAGCTCTAAGTAGAGGACACAGGATTTAAACCCTGGTCTGTCTGATGCTAAAGTCCATGTGCTTCATATCAGGTCTGGCTATTTCCATAAAAGATCAACTTGGAAGAAGTTTCTAGTAACCAAAAATACTAATAAATATTTACTGAGCACTTGCTAAGTGCCAAGCACTATGCAAGGTGATGTTTTTTGGGGTGCTCCATGGGGTGCTCCAATGAGCTAGATCCTTACTCTTGGTTGCTACTTAAAGAGACCTATTGGAACATGACTCGATAATTTTAAATAATCATCCAGTCTTTAGTTGTATTAGTTAAGGTATCACTAGGCTGATTTAATAATAATAGGGTTTATTGAGATCTCATTTTATTTGCTTTTTCATTCCTTCCTCTAACCTCGTGTCATGGTCCCTAACTATCCTGATTTTCATAACCTCCATCCTTCCTAATGCATTTTTCCAGTCTCCTTACTATCTTTGTTCTTTTTTTTTTTTTTAGCACTAATCTCTTTTATTTTTTAAAAATAAATTTATTTATTTATTTTTGGCTGCATTGGGTCTTCGTTGCTGTGCGCGGGCTTTCTCTAGTTGCGGAGAGCAGGGGCTATTCTTCATTGAGGTGTGCGAGCTTCTCATTGCAGTGGCTTCTCTTGTTGCGGAGCACAGGCTCTAGGTACGTGGGCTTCAGTAGTTGTGGCACGCAGGCTCAGTAGTTGTGGCACATAAGCTTAGTTGCTCTGCGGCTTGTGGGATCTTCCCGGACCAGGGCTCGAACCTGTGTCCCCTGCACTGGCAGGTGGATTCTTAACCACTGCGCCACCAGGGAAGTCCCAGCACTAATCTCTTTTTAAAAACACTTTCTTTAGAAATAATTTTTGGAAAGATTTGTTTGTTTTTATGATAGACATGAATGATTACATATCCCATTGTAACTAAAAGAAGAAGGTTAGATAAAGATGAAAGATAAGGGGAAGGTATAAATAAATATAGGTCAATATAATTTTCTGAACCAAAGTTTATTTTTCTATACGAATTTTAGAAGAAGTCAGGTTTAGACTGGAGGACATGGTAGGTAGTCTCCAAAACTGGGCTAGTGTAATAAATTTGGATAGTAATTGTCAAATGTTATCATAAACCTCCTGATTGGGCTGCTGTAGTACATCTTATTTGGAAAATCCTACTAATTAATCACACAGTGGTTTGTCCATTTCTGATAGTCACAACCCAACAGCAAATATCACATTATAATAGTACCACACAGGATGGTTAAGCTTCTAAATTAAAGCTACAGAGTTGTGTAATAATTAGAATCTATTTTCTTAGGAATAATATCTGTCCTTTTAACTTGCTGTATAAGAAATAAATAAGTAAATAAAAGAAAATTCAAAAAAAAAATCTGTCCTTTTAGCCATTGAACTTGAGAGGCAAAAACATTTCCACCAACTCTGACGCAAGGTCAAATTCTTTAGATATCAACATATCATAATATAAAACTTACCTTTAGATGTTTCCCAGCATACAAAAGAATCGATTAAAGACAAGCCTTGTTTATAATAAAATGTAGTTAACTCCAGCCAATCGGCATCAAGTGTACTAATGACAGAGCCTTTTCTCGTTACTTTCATTGACAAGATGCCTTCCTGATAGGTCCAGCAGGGTGATTCATCCTCAAAATCATTGAAGACTGTATACAACTTGTTATCTGAGGATAGGTGTTCAGAAAGAAGAAAAAAGGGGAAAACTATAATTTTACTGAAAAGATTCCTAAAATCTTTTTTTTTTTTTTTGCAGTACGCGGGCTTCTCACCGTTGTGGCCTTTCCCGCTGCGGAGCACAGGCTCCCGACGCGCAGGCTCAGCGGCCATGGCTCACGGGCCCAGCCGCTCCGCGGCATGTGGGATCTTCCCAGACCGGGGCACGAACCCGTATTCCCTGCATCGGCAGGCGAACTCTCAACGGCTGCGCCACCAGGGAAGCCCTAAAATCTTTTTTAAAAAGAAATCTTCAAGCCCAGATCGCTTCAGTGGTGAATTCTATCAAATATTTAAGGAAGAAATAACACCAATTCTGCATAATCTCTTCCAGGAACAGAAGGGGAGGAGAGAGTTCCCAGCTCATTCTATGGGGTCAGCATCACCCCGATACCAAAGCAAGGCAAAGACAGTACAAGAAACCTACAAAAAAAAAAAAAAAAAAAAAAATTAATCATGAGCTATTTCAAGCACACAAACAAGCATACAGAATAATAAAATTATCCACCATTCAACTATATCAGATGTTAACATTGGGCCAGGTTTGCTTCAGATTTTTTTCAAGGAAATGAGAAATGGATGTACTTGAGGCTCAAGATGTATCTCCCCTAATCCTATACTCCAGAAATAGCTACTGTAATGAATTTGGTGTTTATTATTCTCATGCAAGTTCTTTTATTCTTTTAATACACATTTCTTTACACATAAATGATGTTTTGCAGTTTAAAAACAATGTTTTCCAGTTTAAAAAGTTTTTTAAAAATGGTATTATACTGTATGTATCAATCTATAAGTTGATTTTCTTGTTCAACATTATGCTTTTGAAGTGTAATTAATACATATAGATCTTATTCATTTAGTTTAACTGCTATATAGCATTCCAGTTTACTTTTCTCCTGTTGATGGACATATACATTATTTCTGAATTTTTGTTATTACAAACATTATTCATTCCTTGGACACATATGTGAGAGTGACTCTAGAATGCATACTTAGACATGGAACTGCTGGATCATATACTTTACAAGTTAGCAAATTCTTAACTTGGGGGTCTATGGACCCACATTTATGGTTGTGTTTTAGGAAGTCTAACACCACTTGTGTCACAGAGTATTAGGGGTATGTGTGTTATGTGTGTTTTTCTGGGTGAGTCTCCATGGATTTCACCAGACTCTCCAAGAGGTCTTTTGTTGGTCTCCCCCCAGCCCCCATCGCTATCGCTCTCACTCCCACCCCCCAGCACCAAAAGTTAAGAACCAACCACTGCCATAGAAAAGTTATCAAAAAATATAGGGTTTTTAAATAAATAGAAAGCAGAATCTAAAGACTGAAAATTAAATTAAGTAGCATACTGGATTTGAAACTTAAAAGACTTGGAACAGACACCTGATCTAATCAAAGTTAGGTTGGGAACCAGCAGGAGTTTATAGGTAGCTGTGGGTGGAATATAGTGGGTAGCTCTCTGGCCACAACTCCAACAACTCTTACATTCCTAAATTTATATTCCTAAATTTTGCTCTCTGCAGGAAAATCAGGGTGGTTGTTAGCTAGGGAACTGTTAGAAAAATGGGAGGGTGTTGGTGGTGGTGAGGTGGTGAGATGATGAGTTGGGAAATGCTCTGGGTCATTTCTTTCTTTTTTTTTTTTTGCGGTCCGCAGGCCTCTCACTGTTGTGGCCTCTCCCGTTGCGGAGCACAGGCTCCAGATGCGCAGGCTCAGCGGCCATGGCTCACGGGCCCAGCCACTCCGTGGCATGTGGGATCTTCCCGGACCGGGGCACGAACCCGTGTCTCCTGCATCAGCAGGCAGACTCTCAACCACTGCACCACCAGGGAAGCCCTGGGTCCTTTCTTAAGGAGGCTGTGTTGACCGTGGTCCAGTGGGTCTCTGCCATGCACGAATATTGAGCAATCTCACCACAACCCAGAAAGCCGATGCCACCACTGTGTGTGGCCTTAGCACCAACACTGATCAAAGGATCAGTTAATAGCAGCTAACTTAATAAAGAGTCTATTCTATGCCAGGCACTGGGCTAAGCACTTTGTAGACATCTCGTGTCTACTTCTCACAACAACACCATTTCTATTAAAGACACTGAGGCAGTCTGGCTGCAGACTCTTAACTCTAAGGTGTACATAGTCTTTGATTTTCTTTATTAGTGCTTTTTAAAGCGTGCCCGTAAATGTATCAGAAAACTTAGAACAGTCCGAAATACATTAAAAAATACCCTCAACTTCTTGGAAGCCTTGCTAGCTGCAAAGAAGAATAAAACTATTGCTTAAAGTTATTTAAGAATGCAGGCACGGGCTTCCCTGGTGGCACATTGGTTAAGAATCTACCTGTCAATGTGGGGGACGTGGGGTTCGAGCCCTGGTCCGGGAGGATCCCATGTGCCGCAGAGCAACTAGGCCCATGAGCCACAACTACTGAGCCTGTGCTTTAGAGCCCACAAGCCACAACTACTGAAGCTTGCATGGCTAGAGCCCGTGCTCTGCAACGGGAGAAGCCACTGCAATGAGAGGCCCGCGTGCCGCAGCGAGGAGTGGCCCCTTGTCGCTGCAACTGGAGAAGGCTCCCGTGCAGCAACGAAGACCCGGTGCAGCCAAAAATAAATTAAAAAAAAAGAAGAAGAATGCAGCCACTATTGTTATATTAGTTGTTTCATCATGATGTGCATTTTAATATTCTAACTGGTGATCAAAAAAAGCCAATTAACTTCAAAGGTGAAAAGTACCCATGAAATGGGAAAGGCCACAACTAAAATTCTCACACACTGTTTATAGGGAGAAACATAAATCAGAACAGCGTTCTTTACAGAATCACTTTTTTGGTATATACATGCACAGCCTCCATGTTACAGAGGAGTTGGTGTACGACTAAATGGGAACCAATTTTCAACACCAAGTTTCGTTATGTGGATGGTGTTGTATGACCATGCTAAGGATAACTGTTTGGAAAACTGCACTACCTTATTCCAGGTGCAATAATTTAAAAACATCAAGACAAGTTTATACTAGTTTTTTCATCTTTATAATCATTAGAGATTTAATTTTCCTCATATGTGTTAAAAAACCCTCAAAAACATATTTTTGCTAAATTAAAACTAATATACACCCTATTTCTACTCATCTTGTCTGTTACCTTCTCCCTTTCTTGATTTAGAGAAACTGGGGCTGCCATCTCGTTCCATTTGACACTGTCCACTTTCATGATGTAGTTCTTCCTCAATTCCACTTTCAGATGATTGCCCACTTAATGTTCCTTCATTCCAAATTTTACAGTTTTCCTCTGAACTGTGTCTCACATGTAGTGCTGATTCTGTATCTCCATCATGGTTGGTTCCATTGCAGAATTTAAGTGGACAGTGCTGTGATATGAATCCAACAAATTTCATTCCTCTTTTAGCACCTCCATTAATCTGAAGTTTAAAAAGACATGGTAGAACAAAATGTAAACTTCATTTGCATTGATTGCTTTATCAATTAACCTTCAGGCTTATTAAGGAAATCCATTAGAAAAGGAGTAAATCGGCCAGTAAAGACCCATTCATAAACAAATTAATGACCTCTAATATAGCAACAATCCTAAGACCCTGTCACACTATGTTCCTGCTTTCTTCAAACAGAACTGATACATTTTAGAAACTGTGAAAACAAGGATTATATTTTCGGGACTTCTCTGGTGGTCCAGTAGTGAAGACTCTGCACTCCCAATGCAGGTTTGATCCCTGGTTGGGGAACTAAGATCCCACATACTGCAGCTAAGCCCGCGCGTGCCGCAACTAGAGAAGCCTGCGCCGCAATGAAGAGCCCGTGTGCCACAACCAAGACCCAGCACAGCCAAAATAAATAAATAAACGAACAAATAAGTAAATTAATTAATTAATTTTAAAATTATATTTTCTCCAAGAGGTTACTATTTGGGAAGAACTGATAATTCCATAGCATGATTTTTGCAGCCCTGTTAACAATCATTTCTCTAGATGAAGCAAAATTTAAAACTATCCCAAGAAATCCTCAAAAATAACATTACCGACCTCTCCCTATGTCCCAGGGAGGGGGGCAGAGTTCTTGAGGCGCTAGGCTACTGTGTTCCCTCTTTGCCTGGCAAAGAAATAAAGCCACTCTTTCTCCTCCATAAAAAAAGAAAAAAATTACCAAATACATCTTGATAATAAAGAAGAGACATTAATTTAAAAGCAGAAAACATACAGCCTTGTTTGCTTGTGTGTAAAGAAAATTGTTAAAAGACTAATTCTTGACAAATGCATAAGCCCAATTCATACTACCACTCTTAAGAAGTTTCTGATTTTCTTATATCTTGGTACTATTATCTCTTTTCTGGGCCAAATACACATGATTAGATTCAGTCCTATCAGTTAAAGAATAGGGTTCAGAAGCACATGAAATAATGCCAGTGAAATAATTTGAGACCCTAAGAGTGGTTATTTTCATGCTCAACACCTTTCTCTTTCTCTGCTTTTGCATCATTTCTTTGTTCTTTTTGTGTCCACGTCTTTCTCCTGTGTTAAGTTGACCATTCTTTTGAGGGCAGGCACTATCTTACTCACTTTTGTGTTGCAGTGTTTTGTACTTACAGGTGCTCTATAAGTACTCGTTAAATAAGTTAAAATGAAGAAATAGCAACATCTTTTATACGGCCACTGTTTCAAGCATTTTAAATGTTTTAAATTCACCTGGGAGGCGAAGAAAGAGTTATGATGGAGGTTGCAAGTGCAAACATCTATAGTCAGAAATAAAATGGAATGAAAAAGGCCAGGAAGAAGCGGGGTGAAACCAGACAGCAATGGAGGCTGCTGTAACTTAGCTGAGACGGACAGAGGGTGTGGGTGTATGGAGCTTGGGCAAACACTGCTGGCACAATATCATTTACTTCTATAAATTAACATATTAAGACTGTGACACTGCAAGAAGCCTTAAAAATAACCATAAGTTGTCCTTTATATCAGGTTTCCCAGGAGAGGAGAAGGAGGTGGTGTGGAGGAAGGTAGAAACCGGTAAATTTAATGTCAGTGCTTTCTCTAGGTCTTATTCGTTGATTTGGGGGAAAAACTGCAGAAGACTTTCTCTATTACTAAAAAGTTTTATCTGGAAAAGCTGGTATGATATAGAGTATTACTGTCTTTTCCGTTTTTTAAGTTGCAAGATTGATGTTTTTCATGTGATTTTTATTTAAAAATCCTAGGGAGAACACTTGTAAATCTAAATTAAAAAAAAGAGCAAACATTGACATAATGTTAAAATGACTTAAAATCTAGCTGTTTAACAATCAACTCTTTATATCAGGCAGCCGTTCAAAAATAATATTTGGCACTCATCTATTGCTCTTGTTCATACACGGGGCCATGTTCAAATATTTCACGTGCTATTTTTCCTGAAGCTTTTCTTTTCATAAAATAACCTCATTACTCTAATTGCTGAAATAACAGTACTTTCCTGTTTAAATTAGATCTTTGTGTCCAGGAAGTCAAATACAACATGAATGCTCTCATGATGATCTATTAAGACTAAATTAGCAGTTAGATTTTTGTTTCTGGAGTGCATTTATTCCCAGAAAAAAAAAAAATTTTTTCCCAGAATAGTCGTAGTAAATAGTATGTGTACCTTGTTTATAAAAATCAAGTTTCAAAGACTGTTCCTGAAAAACCTTATTAAATGGTGACTTTATATCTAAATGGGAAGTATCATTGGCAGCTCTAACTGGCTAAACACAAACCACAGATAATCTTACACACACGGTCATTTAAAGCTTGGGAAAAATAGAAACAGGGAACAAATTTCACAGTTTCTTATTTGACAGGAAATGCCTTAGGTTTTTGGCAGTATTCATTTAAATAAAAGCTAAACCTTACACATATGACAATGCAACTAAAATAAAAAAAAACAACCCAAACTTTCACCATCAAATCCTGTCAGTTTAGAATACTTATGAATGTACAATTCTTTTTTGGGGTTTTAATCAATGTACATATAGTGTTCAATTTTTCATTTAAGGTTCAATTAAGTTATATTGAATAGACTTTTTTCTCTCAACAGTTAAGATAGTTGTCATGTTCAATGCCCATAAAATAGTCTATCATATTGATAGATCATTGCTTCCTTCTCAGTTTTCCACTTGTTGAGAATTTGGCCCCTATTCACTGTTGATTAAAATATCTTTGTATAAACATGATTTTTCCCTTTTCAATTAATTTCTTGGAATGGATTCCTAAAGAGGAAATTACTGGGTCACAAAATAAAACAAGATTTATGACTTTTATTACCAAACTGGTATTCAGAAACACTGTACTAATTTATTACAATGCCAATTGCATTGTATATGAATGTATATGAATGTTTTCTTAAAGGTCTTTCCAACATTGAATTTAATATTTTAAATTTAATTTCTCAGTTAATACTGGTAAGTTATTACTTCTCAGTTTTTATTTACATTAAAAATTATTAGTTAGGTTGAACCCTTTGCCAAATGTCGCTTTATTATTTGTGTTTCCTTTCTGTCCATGGATTCTGTCTGTCCATTCAAGACTGAATATACTTTCATGCGTTTGTATTCATTTCGTATATATTCAGAAAATGAAGCTTCCATAAGACACATTTGCTGCAGATTTCCTCCCGATTCTTTTTTTCCTAGTATGTAACATATTTATATATTCAAACTCAAATTACTCAATCTATTCATAATTAAATATGTCCACTCTTTCATTTTCTTTCAGATTTTTTGCACGTGAAAAAATTACCTCTTTATCTCATGTGAAATGTGAGGAGTCTATTTCCTATAGAACAACTGCCCATTTTCCCAGCAGCACTTACGCAGTAATGGTTGTTCCCCCATTTTATTTCATCAGGTTTGTTATGAAATTTCTTATATATGTATAAATCTATTTCTGGCATTTCCATTCTGTTTCACTGGCCTATATTTCTGTTTTTAACTCTACAATTTGGTACCTGTGCTTCAATTTGTTTTAAATTCTGGTAGACTAAGTCACCTATCATTTTCCTATTCTTTTTAAAGTAGGTAAGGAAATTGATGAAGAAGAAATATGAAATATTTCTCAATATCCCATGAAAAAATGTATACTTTTAGTACCTTTTCTATCAGTTCTTTTGCTACGTCATTTGTTTGTGTCTCAAAAGTTAGAGGACATTCCTCAATCACAAGCCTTGGGCGTCTTTGTCCACTGGGTGCTGTCGAATGCTTCGTGCTGTAACAGAGAATATGTTTATGGTTGGAAGCCAATTGCTGATTTTCAGCTAATACGCTCATATGAAAAGGAGCGAGTAACTCACAAATAAGTTCAAGGCAATCCTTTTTCTTTGTTATTTCGACTCTAATGGCTGTCTTCTTATGTAAAAATATTGGAAAAACACAATAACTTCTATTAATTTAGATTTCCTTAATTAAAACCTCTATTAATTTAATTTCTAATTTAACATGAAAGAAAAGCTCTGCATCTGTTGTTTTGATAAGTTATGAGAAATGATTTTAGATCACTATTATACCTCATTATTGTACAAAAGCACAAGTAACAATCCTATTTAAGTGCAGATAAGTATTGTCCTGTCTTTTTCCTTTTTCTTCTCTTCTGATCTTCCCCCCTTGATTATTCTTAGCCCTGGCAGGGCACTGCTAAATCTATTTGAAGTAATGCGAAAAGAGAAAAATAATCTATCCATGGTTTGTAAGATTTGTAATTAGGACATAAGTGTTGCTATGGTGTGGTAAATGGCATATTTACTTAGTAATGCTTGAACTAGTAAATATCTGATGAGGTGCCCTGTCATGGTGAAAGCTGCTTGTGTACATGCCCTCTCAGACATGTGTAAGTGGGCAGTTAGTTACTCAGTAGCAGACAGTGTCCCTAAAAAGCACATCTGGGATTTTTTAAAGCCTCTTCTTTTTTTCCCAATTTTCTCTCTTTTTCTCTTATTTCATTTTCCCTTCTCAGCTTAGCTCTTTCATAGTTAAAATCGCTATAAAGAGAAAACACAGTTTTTACCCTGGTCTTTGAGATGATTTTGATACAGTTGGAGAGTTGTGTAAAAAAAAATTTAATGTGTTAATCAAAGACATTGGTCTGGTTATTTTCATTCTTCACTGGAAGGAGTAACAGTATTTTGAATATTATGAAACATACAAGCTTGGTTGGCAAAAACGTTTGTAGTATTGTTTGGAAAAACAGCTATTAAAAAAGTTAAAAAAGAACCTAAAATGGATGGCTTTCTGGCTTTCCCATCCTAGTTTTTGGAAAAAGTTGATAAGAGCTATCCAGTTTGTGAGAACTTGGCATGTAGGCCTTTTTGCTGTAAAAGTTTTGAAAGTTAGAAATAGTTTCTGTTGCCACTTTTAATAAAACAATACAGGACAGTTAAAAAAAAACACTCAGTGAAAGTGAACTTGTTCAGTCAGCTCTTTTAGCCCAGTGATAGGATATAGCTAATTGATACCCCCTCATTTGCTGAAGTTGCTATATCAGCTTTCAGGTGCTTCTTGAGTCTATTTTCCTTTCCCTTTTTTCACTGACATCCTTACCTAGGACCTGTTTGTCTGCAAGGGGCTAAATCTATGAGAAGTTTTAAGGAAGGCGATTTAAGTTTCCTTCTCCCAATCGAGGTTCAACTGCTGGAAAATGTGCCTTAAGCCAAAACCCCTAATTATCCTTTATTCTCCATCACTTTGTTCAAACGTGCTTTCCTTTTAGCCAAAGAAAACTGCCTCTCTCAACAACTTCTTAGTATGACAGTTTTCTGGAGCGTCAGGCTTACCTTAATTTCAAGCGCGATAGCACCACCCTGTATAGATAACTTGCAGGCAGGTGTTTTTGCTGCCCAACAGGTTGTATAACAGGATGAATAGCCCCAACAATATATCCTTTAAGATAGTAGTCTTCCACTTTTGTTACTATATCCAGAATTGAATTTATCTTGATTACTTCTGGGTTTGGCGAAGCTGAAATGTCAAATTGCAAAGAGAGATTTGCACGTTCATAAAGTTGAATTACATATTATTTCTATCTACGTATGATAATACTAATGAATAGGAAATGTATCCATATGATTTAATCTCAAATAAAGTTTTACTAACAGGTATTATATATTTTCTAATTTAATTTCAGAAAAAGCAAAAATAATCTTAGCAGCTGGCAGACATTTAGTATTACCAATATGTCTTAAAGTAGAAATACAATGCCTTATTTATATATTTCAAATATTTTATTTATTTATTTATTTAAAGACACATTTTTATTTTTTTATTATTTTTTTAAAAATTTATTTATTTTTGGCTCTGTTGGGTCTTCGTTGCTGCACGATGGGCTTTCTCTAGTTGTGATGAGCAGGGCTACTCTTCGTTGTAGTGCACAGGCTTCTCATTGTGGTGGCTTCTCTTGCTGTGGAGCACGGGCTCTAGGTGTGTGGGCTTCAGTAGTTGTGGCACGTGGGCTTAGTTGCTCCGCAGCATGTGGGATCTTCCCGGACCAGGGATTGAACCCATGTCCCCTGCATTGGCAGGGGGATTCTTAACCACTGTGCCACCAAGGAAGTCTCTGTCAAGTGCTTTCTTATTTCTAATTACATTTCAAAAAAATCGTGTTTTAAGTTTCTCTGGGAAACTAAAAATATGGTTTCTTATGGCACTTATATAAATACTTGAGTAAAGAAATTGAAAAAGTAAAGGCAACCAGAAGTTCTTCTTAATAAGTAAGAATTCTAAATACACAGGAAATTTAAACGCAAAGTTGATATGCAGTTGAAACATTCCTTTGAAGCAGGGCAAATCTGTAGAAACTATAGAATAGTACAATCTGTATAGTTTTTAGTAAAAGGAAAAGGGTGTGTCATATGGGAAAATGAATGTTCTAGCAGTATTAATTTTAAAAACAACTTCATTTTCTGTAACAATATTTCTCATTTTCTGGAAAACAACCAAGACTTAATAACTAGAAATGGAGCTGCAGTTTGGCTATCTCTTGAATAACAAAACATATGAAATGAACTCCAGGTAGGGGCAGTGCTGGCTGTTGGCCTTCTGTCAGTGTGGTCAGTGCTGTCCAGCAAATAGCTGCTGTTAATTGCCCAAACACAGGAAGTAGGTTAAGAAGCAGACAAGGAAAAAGGGTCAGAGGAAATCCCTACCTCCTCTTACAGTAATATCCACGTGATGGAACAGAAATCCACCACTTGGATTCACGTGGGTTCATGTCAACTTCTCAAGTGAAAATAAAGCACTCAAAGAAAAGTTATATAAACCAGCATGAATCCATTTACTCAAATTTTCATCCTCTTTTGGATTTAAACTAATCTACAATATATTTTCATCATTATGAATAGGAATAAAAACAAAGAGACTGATCCTGGTTTTGGAAGAAACAGCTGGATTTCATTGCAAAATGACCCAGTTCTGAATGGTTGTGTGGCAATCACTCTATGATTCATTTGGTCTTACTTTTTTAGTATTTTAACTATCAACCCTGATTTCCAAACAAAGGAACTAAAAAACTATAAACTAGAATAAACTGTTAAGACTAAGGAATGAAACATAGCCTAAACTTATTTTTAGAACTATATACTAATCCTACAAAAATTTAAAGAAAATTTCCGTCTTTTAATGGATCTCATTGCTTATTGTAGAAAATGGAAATGCTTAGCATGATACAAAAGAATCTTCATTGTCTGGCCTCTGTCAACTTATTCAGCTTTCACTCTTGTCATCCTTTTCCTTGTATATCTTGCTTTAGCAGGACTGAACTACGGGAGTTCCTAAGCCTGGCACACTGTTTCATGTTGCCAGAACTTCGTTTCCTTTCCTGCTCCCCAAGTTGAGTTAATCATTCCTTCCTCTGTGCTGTGCATTCTACTAGTTCCTTATCAATCTGTATTATAGATACTTGTTTATGTGTTTGTCTCTGCCGTTAGACTGAGAATTCCTTAAAGTCATAAAACCAGAATCACTTACCATAAGTAGAAAATTACATACAAATAAGTACAACAAAAAGAAAATACTTATCAAATTCTAGCTGGATACTGTTATCAGCCAAGGACTGAGCCACAGTGCTGCTCTCTCTTTGTTGAAAGGGAGAATTAGCCATTAGAGAGGTGTTAAAGACACAGTAACTCCAAACTGATTGGAAGGCTTAAAAAGAACTGAAAAGGGCACAGCTTTCTGACTATGAGATTCAATGTTATTAATTCTGTGTTTGTGTGTACAACTTAAAAGCATCTCAGGTCTAGTGCTAAGTCTTTTGGTAGAGGCTTGGAACCCCTACTGGGATAGAAGTAGCAAGGACACAGTGATGGCAGCAAGGGGGACAGATGACATCAGAGGGAATAAAATGAATTATAAAACTAGATAAAAGAACTGTAAAAACTTTACAGCCTGAGGTCTCTTAAAGGGCTTTCTACACTTCATTGGCCAAATTGATAATGATAATGAAATCATTCCCTCCGTTCTATTGTTTAAGAACAAGGTTTTCAAAGGCAGAATTTTGTAACACGTTAAATAGAATCACAAGAAGATAGCTATAACAGAAGGACATTGGTGCTTAAAGAGGTTCCTGTTCAGGTAGAGAATGTATTTCTAAGGAACACCTTGTTCTCTGGTGATGTCAGAGAAATTTTGTGTCAGTGGAACAAATCCAGCTTTTCTAGTCTAATCTACATCCTCTTGCACTCTCAATAAAGTAAGGTTATTGTCTTGAGTTCAATGCAAAAGAAATGTTAATGCCTGAAACACAAAGACACACACACACAGAAGTTTTGAGAAGAATTACAAACTGAGAAATCCAGTAAAGTTAGAAAGGGAGAAAAAAAATTGTACATCAGTACTAATAAGCATATCTTACACATAAGTTTTTGTAAAGATCATGTCATTTTGGGCCCAGTGCTTTACATTAATTATTCAACTGTCTCAAATGTGCATGTTCTTCTATTTGGAGGTCTCTGTCTTTTGATAAATAGCACTCGGCATAGACATGACAATTATGATAAGTGCTTGAAAAATACTTGTTAAAGGACCAACTGAATGAAAAATTGGTTGTAACATTAACATATTCAGTGAGCAGAGCTCCAGGGTGCTCATGGAGCAGTAGTTTAGAAAATAGACTCTAGGGGGACTTCCCTGGTGGTCCAGTGGTTAGGACTCCTCGCTTTCACTGTTGAGGGCCAGGATTCAATCCCGGTCAGGGAACTAAGATCCCACAAGCCAAAAAAAAAAAAAAAAAAAGACCTTCAGACAAGACTGCCTGGATGAAAATCTCAGCTCTGCCACTTACTAGCCTGGCAAGCTACTTTGCACCCACGTGCCTCAGTTTCCTCATCTTCAAGGTAAGAATAATAATAGAGTCTACTCTATAGGGTTGTTAGGATTAAATAAGTTTAAATGTGTTCCTAGAAAGTATCTGGCATGTAGCATGTGCTATACAACTATTAGTTGCTTTGTTAAATAAAGTCCTCCCCTATGGAACGAGAGGCAGCACACTATTCTAAGAGCATTAAGATCTGGAAGCAAATCACCTGGGCTCAACCCATGCCATTTACTAGATCTGGAACAAGTTAATTTGCCTGTCTGAGAAAGGGACAAACAATGGTATTAACTTCATAGAGTTGCTTTCATAGTAATTGTAACACATGAGCCCAGGGCCTGGTACAAAGTAAACACTCAAATATCAGTGATGTGCCTGTCTGTCTGTTGGTGGCCCAGCTTAGAAAGATAGTTTCGAATAAAGTTGCCCTCCGAGGTGTCATTGTTGGTTTAAAAAAATCTCCAGGAAGATCATTGTAGAGATCTGGATTTATTCCAAAAGCCCAGCCTGGCTCACCATCTGTAGAATTCTGTATCAGAGGCCCCTAACTCATGCTCTAGATCTCAGGTCCCTAACTCACCCTATAGATTAGGTGTCCCCCCTGCCAACTCACTCCAAATAACAGTCCCTAACTCACGCTGATCTGCTCCATTGAGTCCCAGACTCAAATGTCCAAAGGTATCAGCCTGATAAAACAAGGAAAGGGGCTGTGCTGAAGGAGGGAACTGGGGAAGACTTGATACCTTACCCAAGAGTGCAGCAGCCCTGGTCCAGTGCTGCCATGTGGTCATGTCGGCCCAGTGTTGCTGGATCTTCTGTTTTTTTAAGAAAACCCCCAAATCCAGATTCTTATGTAATATCTCCCAACTTTAAAAAGTGACAGTTAATTCAAATATCTTAACACTATACACACCAAGCGAGACCTGTCTAAAGGCTGAATATGGCCCATGTCTTGTTGGTTTGTAGCTTCTCCTCTGGGTCGCCCCAGGGATTCTGCAGACCAGAGCCTGCCCAGGTCCAGGCCAGGCCACCCGGACCATCTTAGACAGTGTTCAGCATCCTAGGACACAGAAAGTGATCCAAATCTTCCTCATTAGTGGGGACAGGAGGATGATGGTGATAGGAGGGCTGGGGTTCATTCTGTTAACAAATTGCCCTTCTTATCCTACATTGTGATTTATTTTAAAGATGCCAGTGTCATTCAAGAAAGGTAAACCTAGGAGCAAGGAAAGGTGAAATAAATCTGGGAATTTTGTTGAGAACTTCCCTTCAGGTAATCCCCTCGATTCTTAATAATGTTTTAAACTGTGCTGAAAAGAGACTGGCAGCCTGACTCAGCTTAGAGATGTGAGGAAGGGGCAAGCTGTGCACACAGAGTGAGGCATTTTCATCAGTGCTCACCAGAGTGCATAATTATGTCTCCAAGATAGGCTTGGTGTTTGAAGCCAAGCCTTTGATTTGATGTCCTTACACTGGGGCAGTAATATCAGAGACTCTATTACTTTTTAAACACAGGAAATTAGGGGGGAGGTGTGGTTGTTTTGGCTAGAACTGAACAGCACAGGCAGTTAGCAGCAGCTGCAAGCCATCTTGCTCTTCTTAGCTCCCCAACCGCTGCGAGTTCCTTGGGAGAAGGAACAAATGGTGTTGT